CTAGTTTGCCATTTCAGATTGAATCTCTGGCTTCAAACAAATGGCATGTCTGCAAGTATTTAAATAGAATATATCACCAGTTAAAGCATAGCTCTTGAACTGAAAGGGAAAGGTTTGAGCAGCCGTCTAGTTTTTATTGCGGTGTGCACGTCCATCTGGGAGGACTTCAATTCACTTCCTGTCACAGGACAGGAAATAAGTGAAAATAAAGCCCACAGACAAAACAAAATAGAAGCTTTTTTCAGTAGAGTGGAAAATTGTTACAGTATTTGTTGTCTTAAGTTAAATTTTTATTTCCTCTCACTAACCTCCCTCCTGAGTATAGGCATAATAGTGTGTGGGTGGGACCGAACAGGGGGGCATTTGCCTCAAACAGGACATAGTAATACAAACCATACACAGATGTTTACCTTTCCCCACTCTATCCAAGATAACATTTAAAAAACACATTGTTGGAAGCTAGACTTTAAAATAGAAATCCAACCAAAACCTTGTTTTCTGTAGTTGGGGCAAATTTCACTGGTTGGGATTCATAAAACCTGACAAAAGTTCTCACTTTTGCATTCCCTACCCACTTTTTACACACTTTACTCATAACTAGAAAACAATATCTGGAGTTTTGCTTTTATGTTTTATAACTTTGTAGTACAAGCTTGATTTCTCATACCTGTTCACATAAATCAATCAATAATTACTGTATACTCTTTTACAAACAAAAACCCGCCCTATTTCCCAATATTCAGCAAATTCCTACACTTACCTGTTGCTACTTTTCGTAGATCTTCACTGTGCTAGTCACGTGGAGCCATACAGCCTCTTCAAAAAAATTCCCAGCAAAGCCATGTGCAGTAGAATCCTCCCAGGAAGGGTGGGGGCAGGTTAGTGTTTGATTTGGGGGGGGATTGTTTGGGGGAATAGGGGTTATTTAAAGAATAACATACTAAAAGTACAGTTATTATTGTAATGTTTACTTTAAATAAAACACTTTTATGTAACTTTCCGATTCATACTATGGTGTAGATTATTAATTCTGTCAGTAACATATTTCTTTTATTGTATTACATTGTATACAAAATGGCGGCCACTCAAACATGAGAGCCTGAGAGATGAGCTATAGTTTGGTTTGGTCATATCATTGTAGGAAAGGATCATTAGGGGCTTGTTTACTTTAAAGTGACACTAAACTCAGGAATTAAATCCTAAAAATACATTCAAGTACCTCTTAGTAACTATTACCAAAAATGTGTCTTATTTGTGTACCACTTGGCTTTAGTCTGAATTGGTGCTGACACTGTCCTTTCTTCTGGAGGGGGGCTATGTTTGTTCCCCATGTGTGTGTTGTAAAGTAGCTATCGCCCCAAACTTGTTCCCTTGATGGTCTACAATCTCAATACAAATGATTAAACTAAACATGAGATTGTAGTCCATCACAGGAGTGAGCTTGGAGCGGTGACTACTTTACAACACACACACAGGGACCATGGGGAACAAAAGTAGTCACCCCCCAGAAAGCACAGGGTCAGCATGATTCAGAGATGATTTGAGGATCTACAGCATCACCAGGGGCTTTGTTTACTTTAAATCCAGATATCCTCTAAAGCAGTGGTTCTCAACCTGTGTAAGCTCAAGACCCACATTTGTCCTCGGTCATTAAGTTGAGACCCAAGTCGTACCGCAATGGAACGCACGGCAGTGTGGGCTGCTGTGCTGGAGCTCCATTCATATGTGCATTGCTTGCACAGCTCCCATGTGTGCCCGTAGAGTCGCTGGGAGCCAGAATGTGATGTCACTCCAGTCCAGGCACCTCTACAGGACATGCAAAGGAGCTACAGTATAAGCAATGTACATATGGCTGGAGCTCCCTCGTGGCCATACCCCTAGCCGGCCCCAGCTCAAGTCGACACTTGGCGCCAGGCAGCATATTTTGAATGGCTGCTTGGCGTAAGAATGGACAGTTCTGCGCTAGGGGGAGGCTGAGTAGCCTCTCACCTAGAAAAGTGGAAGGCATGTGTGCGACCCACTGAACAAGGGGTTGTGACCCACCAGTTGAGAACCAAGGTTCTAAAGGACCAAACTTCAGATGCGTGTCTTTCAGTTAGGGACCAAAGCAATTTTTGAATTTTTGCTGTGTGTGTTCAACTGCAATTTCCATCTTTCTCATTTATTGCACCAACACATACAGTCTTATATACGGTTTTTAAAGGACAAAAAGGGCTTTAATTTGATGTGACATATACACAGATAAGTTCTCATATATTACAAAATAAATACCAAAAAAAAAAACAGTTTTCACAGTTTTGGCGATAATAATGTGTACATAATTAGTGCAGCTTAAAAAAATAATGCAAACTAAATTCATTTATTTGTCCAGATTTACAGAGTACATTATATGTCTAGTATTCCAGTTTATTTTTGGTAGTTACAGGTCACAATTTCAATGTGGAACAATGTAAAAATGTGGTATGTTTGTCTTCAAAGTTTAATAGCCATCACAGAAAACAAAAATTGCCACACAAAAGTATATATTTATATAAAGTAGACATCACAGGCTATTTACCTGTTGATGTATCCATGACGGAAGCTTAACCGCTTAAGGACCAATGACAGAATTATTCTGTCATGGTTCCTTATGATGTAATAATTCTGTCATTGGTCCTTAAGGGGATGTAGTAGAATTATAGGAATTATTTATTCAGATAATTAGCCCAACTGTCATCTATAGGGGCAAGTATTTTCTTTTTACCCAGAGGATAACGTTGTGTCAGATTTTCTATTGTCTTTCTTCTAAGCAGTATTAGAACAGAGCTGAACGTCATGGACTTTTTACAATGTTCCTATTTTACTGCTTTTATTTTCCTTTAAGAATCTAAAGGACGCTCATTTTTCCCCTGGCTAGCTAAACATCTCTACTGTGCAATTTTTTTTCTAAGAACAGATAATATTGGTTGTAAAACGAATTGGATATTATACATCCATATCATAGCAGGGTTCTTTAGAAACATTCTGCTCATTTCATGAACCTTTTTATGTCCGAATTTCGCTTTTCCTGATGCCGTAATTCTCTGCCTTCCATTTCTCAGCTGTCATTGTATACGGCACACAAAGCATTTCAGTGCCAGATTGCATTGTGCTTTTTTTAAAATCCGGGGTCTTTCCAACCTCCGTGGACGGAAAAACCATCCAGTAATGTGTTATTGCCAGTACCAAGATCGTACAAACTTGTAGACTTTATGCCTCCTCAGTTGCATTAACCTGCGCTTGAACTTCGCAGCTTACTTTCTTTTTTTTTTTTTGGCCTGGAAAAGAAGATAAAGAAAGTCATTTTCGAATAGTCTGGATGGCCTTTCCTGTCTTCCTAGAGGAGAGTACAATGCCAGGCAGAGATTAATGGCCTGCAAAGTGTAAGCTTTTTAAATTAATGTTACTTATTACAACCATGGCTTCCAGACAAAAGAAAAGTCATCAGCTGGTACACTACCACCCACTAATTGATTTGAGAAGTTTCATTTAGAAGTATAAGCACTTCTTGGTGTTCTCTGAAAGTATTTGAGCAAGTCTGTGACAAGCGTGGCGAGGAATTAAGCCCCAGAGCTTCGGTTGGCTGTTACAAGGCATATTGCAGTGTATTGTCTGGGAATCGATCAAGGAGGTGTTGGGGGGATGTTAGAAAACCCCCAGACGCATGACAAATAAAACAGCATACATGTACCTATACAGGCCATCATCCATCAATGAAAGGAACAAAATGGAATAGACAAAATGTACTCAACCACTTTTTTATTGTTATTAAGTTAAAAGAGGCCCTGGAATGCTACATATGTTTTGTTAAAGAGAATACTAGCAGCTGTTATTCACTGCTTGTAACAAATATAATGCCAGTGGGTCAGTATAACAGCCATGCTACTAACATTTTCAAAAGGATGTATTCAGCGGCAGCCCACATATTTATTTTACGGAAGTTTTGTTAAAAGGGAACACCTCAAGCTAAATACCATTCTAAAAAGGGCTGCCATTGACTGACTTCTAAGTTGCATGCAAATTTCAGGGCAGCAAGCACTTGTAGTAGGGGATAATGCAGCGTACCACACCCCAAAGAGCAACATCATACCCAAATAAATAGCAGTCTTTTCAGGTACCCACACTAGTACCCATATTCACACTGACTTGCCTTGTACTGTTAGAAGGATATGATGGCCAAAGTCCAGGTCTGCTTTAAATGGCCTCTTACCAGACATTAAAGAGCCCCAAAAAACAAAAGTTGTAGAGTGACCAGATTTGTTTTGTAATGACTTCAGATTGTGACAACCAAGGAAGCAGAATGTGATTTTAAATGTCTTATGCATATATATATAGATATATATATCTATATATCTATGTATATATATATATAGATATATATAGATATATATATCTATATATATCTATTGA